TAATCCTTACCCTTCCCATTGCTTCATGATACTTCATTATTAAATTCTTATAAGAAACACAGTATTTCTGGGTATTCTGTTCTATTCTACTAAAATACATGTCTATTTTGAGGCCAGTATCATGTTGTTTTAATTATTGTTGCTTTTATTATGTTTTAATATTTGGCCATTAGGACTAACCATTTCACTGCACTTCATTTTTCACAAAATTCTTTTATTTCACTTGATAATATTGCAGCCAAATTTTGTAATAATTTTTTCAGGTATTCAATTTTAAATTCTGCTTTTCATCAGTATAACATAAACGTTTCCACGCTGCTTCATAATGCTCACAATTTTAACGTTTAATACTAACATGAAATTCCATCCATTAGTAATGGTTTAGCCAAAGTCAAAGTAATTGCCCCTCTACTAGCCAATGCAAAGTTTCTAAGTTTTACTTTGAAAACAATATTGTAAAGCGTATCTTTGTGCGTTTAGCTTTTTACATCTGTTGAATTTTCTTTTTTTTTCTCCCTGATTTTTTCTTTATTCCTTAGTTTATCTTTATACAATGTAATCATTTTTTGTGGCTCTTTATCAATTCCTCGCTAACTCCTCCTCCCTCTCCCCCTTTCCCACCTCTAGTAGCCTCAGTGAATTAATTTCTTTGGGTAATTTTCCTGGAAAAGGAATCTTGGGTAGAAAGACTGAAGAATTTTAATAACAATTGATGATGTTGCTTTCAAAAGCATACAAACTTATAGTGCTATCAGAGTATACACCCTAAAACCAAATTATACCATTTTTTCCTCCAAATTCCTTGTTATAAAAAGTTACTTCGAGGTTGTTATACGTCTAGTTCTTTGATTATCAAGTTTTAATGTCTTTCCTTATGTTTCTAAACTATCTGTATGTCGTCTGGTGCAAATTTTCTGTTCATACATTTTACATATTAATTTGAATATTTTTATAAAGAAGTGATACTAACCTTGTCGTATTTTATGTTTTTGCTTTTCCCGTTCTCGACTGTCTTTACGTTTTATTTGTTTCTTTTGTTATTGCACTTTGTGAGAGGCTTAAACCTAGATAGTCAAATTTCAGGTTTTCCATTAGAAAGTTAATACACTACCAGAATGTCTTTAATTTATTCGTTAATTGAACAAATATCTACTTAATGCTAATAAGGTACCAAGATACACAGGAAGAAATACTTAGAAGATTCTTGGTGTCATGCAGACAATAAGAAAAAAAAGAAAAACAACAATAAATTAACACAGTGATACAAATATGGTAAAGTGACAGAAACTGAAGGGGGAAGGAAATAGTACTTCAGTGGGGTGGTCAGGGAAAACTTCTCTGTAGAGGTAACATTTGATCTGAGACCTGAATGACAAGAAAGAACTGGCCATGCAAACATCTAAGGGCAGCACATTTCCAATATTTGATTTATTTTTTACTAGTTTTATTTTCTTTCAATTTTAGGTTTAACTCTTCAGCTATCTGGAGTATATTTTGGTATATGCTGTAAGATATTGTGTGAGTTATTTATTGCTGCATAACAAACTACCCAAAACTTTCTGGTTTGTCCAAGCCCAGAGACACAAGGGTGAATACAGAGCGAGACATGATTCTGTGGGGGCCATTGCGTTAGCAATCTACCATTACTTTTATCAAGATTGGTATTCTGTTAACCAACATAATTTTCCACATAATCCTTACCCTTCCCATTGCTTCATGATACTTCATTATTAAATTCTTATAAGAAACACAGTATTTCTGGGTATTCTGTTCTATTCTACTAAAATACATGTCTATTTTGAGGCCAGTATCATGTTGTTTTAATTATTGTTGCTTTTATTATGTTTTAATATTTGGCCATTAGGACTAACCATTTCACTGCACTTCATTTTTCACAAAATTCTTTTATTTCACTTGATAATATTGCAGCCAAATTTTGTAATAATTTTTTCAGGTTATAAGAAAAAAATGATACATGGACTTTTTATTGGGATTACATAAAATCTGTTAATAAATTTGAGAGAAACTGATATCTTTATAATATTTACTCCTCCCGTCCATGAATATGGAGGTCTCTTTTTTATTTGTGGTTTCTTCGTATAATTTTTCAATAAAACTTTATCACAGATACCTATACAAAATACTTCTTAAGTATTTTTAACATTTGTTATGATACTTGATGCATTTCTTTTTTCATTAAGTAGGAAATCTATATAAATTATTATATGAGTGTACTTCAGAATGATCATTGAAAAAATAGAATTAAAAGATAGTATGAATCTTTTCATGAACTTTTTGAAGTAACCTTATATGTGTGTGTAGTATATATAATAATCATTAAACATTCTAATTGATCATTACTGGTATACAGGTCATATTTTGTGTCCAACTGCTCTTTCCATGAACTTTTTGAAGTAACCTTATATGTGTGTGTAATATATGTAATAATCATTAAACATTCTAATCAGTCATTACTGATACGCAGGTCATATTTCGTGTCCAACTGCTCTTTTTAAAAACTTTTGTTTGACAAATTATTTTCACTTTTCTAGTGTTACAATAATATTATCATCTGTGAATTATCCTTTTGTCTCTTCCTTTACAGTATTATTTCGTTTCTTTTTCACAGCTTGTGTTATAGCTCAATATTAATAATGCTGAGAGCAAGCACTTTTTTTTTTAATGAATCATTTTATCACTTTTCCATTAAGACTATCATTAGCTCTTGGACTGAATACTTACTGTCATGTTAAAGAAGTAGATTCCTGTTTCTCTTTGTTTTGTCATTGAACTACTGCTTCTCAAGTACAAGATACAGTCAGCTTCATACCTAGATGAAGGACATATGAGTAGTTTTAAATACCATTCAATATTGGAAATAATTATTTTTTATCCGCTAATATATAATAATATAATATAATAATAACATATAATATATAGCATTGTTTAAAATGTGTTTGCTTAGAATTGTTAACCACAGTCTATGTTTAGACTTGAATTCAATTTAGTTATCTGTTAAACTATTAAGTTATTCATTAAGCGAATTCCTTAAGACTTAACATGGCATCTAAAAGAGAAAACATATTTGATTGATCAAAAGTACACACACACATACCCCACATGTGCACATCCTGGCTTCTTTAATAAAGTTTTTATAACTGACCCTCATGGTAGGTCCCACCACAAAGTCTGTCTGTGCTTCCTTTTATTGTTGTTCTTCAATCGAATAATAACTTAAGATTGACCCTACTGACTCTGGGATCATTATTAGATCATTGTTTATTCTTCCCCTCTCCCCCTAGCTGTACCCCTTCCATATCTTCTTTTTCTTTCTCTTTGTCCCTCTCCTCCTTTCTGCACCAAGAACACAACTGAGTTATTCATTCACTCAACAAATATTTATTAAGCACCATCTAGGTACCAGGCATTGTGTTAGGCATAGCAATACAAGAGAGCAAATATTGAGCAAGTTTCTGCACTCATGGAGCTCACAGTCTAGGGGAGCCAGACAATCAATCATAGACGCATTTAAACAAATGTAGAAGTCTAACAGGAGAGTTCCTAGTCAGGGAATCCAATCATTTAAGAAAAACCAAAATAGATTTCCCTGAGGAAATGGACTGAGCTAAAATTAGTGAATTAATCAGACAAAAATGGAGGAGAGGGAAGAACTTTCAAGGCAGAGGAAACAGCCCTTGCAAAGACCCTGTGGCAGAAAGGAGCTTAGCTTATTAGAGGAAATTTTATTCTTGAGAGCTTGTTTGGAGGTTCTAGCAGGGGAGCACAGCTACTCGTATACCCTTGACCGAAGAACGGTCCTCTCCTCTAGCGGGGAAGGTTATCCTCTTCGACCGAGTGCGCAGCTTCGGGAGGGACGCACATGGAGCGGTGAGGGAGGAAGG